GGGTATTGAGTGGTGTTTTGTAGGTTGACTGTCTGCTATGCAGTGGGGTATTGAGTGGTGTTTTGTAGGTAGACTGTTTGCTATGCAGTGGGGTATTGAGTGGTGTTTTGTAGGTGGACTGGGGTATTGATTGGTGTTTTGTAGGGTGACTGTCTGCTATGCAGTGGGGTACTGAGTGATTTTTTGTCAGTTGACTGTCTGTGGTTTGTATCATATTTGGAGACATTTGAAAAATAATCCCTTTTTTATGTATGGTTTGGCATTGTGTTTCTTTCTGTGGACACGAAAACAAATCAAGACAATTAAAAAGTTAATAAACACTTAAATTCCAAAATGCAATATTGTTTTTAGAAATAATTAAAACAAAACAAAAAATATTATAAATAAATTGTACAAATCACTCATCTCTCAGCTTTTTTAGTTCTTTTTGGTAGTTTATTATTTCTAAAACATAACTATGGCTTGAATTTGAACATACAAATTAAAAARCATTTGCTGATTAAAAAGAATATTTCACAAAAACAAAGCTTTCAGTAATAMGATACGATAATGAATATAACAAATGTCATATGAGTTAAATTTCAAAAATGTTTAACCACAAAGAGCAAACAACTATTCCTTCTTAGATGTTTGTTACAATAATCTTTGTAACATTTCTAAAAAAAATTCACAGTTTGTATAAGTAAGGTTTTAGAATAAATACCAAAAAGAAATAATATCTYGCAATGTGATTAATGAGCTATTTCAGGATAAAATGAGACAAACATAAGCACATCAACATTTAATGCAATGAAATCAAATGCAAGATTAATTATTTTTTGTAAACATTTTCAATGTGGGCTGAAATTTCCAAGAATAGATAGACTAACCACTTGTCAGACACAATAACAATCCATAACTGAACTAACAAATATCCAATAGCCGACTTGCGAATTACGCATCAATAGTCACATACAAAGGAATCAAGACGAGGCGCCGTGCTTTTTTGTGAAAAATCTATTGTCTTTAGCACGGCGCCTCGTCTTGATTCCTTTGTATGTGACTATTGATGCGTAATTCGCAAATCGGCTATTTATATCATATTTTTGGTATATATTGTTCCATATTATCGATAACACTTGAAATTATAATATAAAAAATATAATCAACAAACTCAATGTGTAAAAGATTGTTGACTCTTATAAAATATTTAAAAAAATTAAAAAATATTAATATTTAGCACTGCCAAAAAAAAACACTTTTTAGTACAATTTTRTTTATTAATCTAAGTAAATATTTTTGAAGTTTAATTAAAAAGAACTGTGATTTATTATTATGTACAAGGATGAAAATATATAAATGTTATGAAATTAAAACATTGAAAAACGTTTTCGACTATGAGTCACCTTCAGTTCGTGATTTAATGACGAAATATCGATCACCACATAATCAAGTAACAAATGTCGAGCAAATGAAAAACTCAGTAGCTGATTCCCATATGAAACACAATACAGAAAATGTTATAAATCATATCATTTTAACAAGAAAGGCGGTATGCCATTGACCTTTATAGCACTAGGACTCATTGACAAAACCCCCACAGTTTAAGCAACAGAATACTTAACTAAATGTTTCCTTGATAAAACCCCTTTTCCACACAACAATATTGATTTGCAGCCTTTGTGTTATATTCAAAGCATAAATATAAAGTTTARTCATTAGTGGGGGATGTGGGAAATATAATCAAGACATTTGATGAAATAAAAACAAGTTCCATTTTTAATCTTTCTACTTAAAGCTCAACATCTCCTTCTCTGGTGACTTTTGTTATGTGAAGAGATGTGGGCAAATACTCTTAGAACTTCAGGAAACTTTCAGCCAATTTTCAAACTGATTTAAGATATGTTAAAGGGCCCAGGTGGAAAAACTAATAAAAAATATGATATGTGCTGATATATGATAAAAAGAGAAATACATTGAAAAAGACATTGAAAAAGGTGATCACTTGAATGCTTTTTTTTAGTGCATTCCCTTTCATTCAAGTATAATATTCAATTTCTCTCTGACAACTTAATACAATGTTAATTAAGAATACAGAATATGCAAATCAAACAAAATGAAAAAAATGATAGAATAGGGAAGCAAGAAGTTCATAGTTGTCACTTTTCGTATAACAGGAAAAATTAACCTACAAAAGTAGTTTTAAGAAAGGCAATGGGTTKAACAYGAAACCTTTTTYTCTTTCAGGATACTACATGATATAATTCTTTCAGATGTACATTTATACAGAAAAGATTTAATGTTTGGACACTATCAAGTTTTTTGTCAATTTACAAGTCATTAGTAGTCTTACAACAGCTTTAAGACTTCCTTAAACAGTAGTGATGTAAGAATATCTAATTGGGGAAGTCAACCTCAAAAATTCATCAAAAACAATTAAGAAATTTATGAAAAGAATGATTCATTGCAAATGGCAAAAACATTGCAATCTTAAACATTTYATGAAAAGGATCATGTGATTTTATAAAAAAAAACTACAAGTTTATTAATCTCTAGTTAAGTATAATTTTCATTCCTGCTATTATTACCTCTAGATTCACCTCTCATGACAACATGCTTAAAATGCAATGTAAGTTGATCATGAAATTACCAATACAAAGAACTGTTGCTGTGATGAAGAAACTCAGGGAGAAAGTCCACCGGAAGTGAATTCACTGCTACAACAGGTGATCGAATAGGACAGGAAAAAAGAAACTCATGTTGAGAATAAATTGTTTATGGTATTTTTAGGACGATAAATAAGACTTCAAAATTAAGGCGAGGTCAGGATAAAAACAGGATTGCCTCGTTTAATTCATTTATCTCACCGACATAAATCTGAGTGTTTTTAGAAGCTGGATTTTTTTTTCATTGTAAATTTGCCAACATCCGGTTGAAACTGCAAATATAAAATTCGACGAAAAATACAGAAAATATTTTTACATAATTGCTTTAAACTTCGTAAAATGATCGTAACTCTCTATTATAAATGTGTAGAAGCGAAATTAAGATAATCCTCCGCCACTTACTTGATTTAGAGAGCTATCCAGTTGAAGAAGAGGTCGAAAACCTGGCGGCTCAGCTGAAAACAAAATTTAAATTTGCCGGCTTTGGCAGCCTGCAACGAGTAACATTACGATGGATTCCATAGCTTATCGTCGGCTTTCTTTCAGTCGAAATCTTTAGTGCTACACTCTGTACACTTAAATTAGCCGTTTTCAGTCGTCTCGGAGGAAAAGGAATAAGTGAAATGCATAATTTTCTTGGTTTTCAAACAAATCTTGCCTTTCTGCATCCCACGTGTATGGGATACGATCCCATAATGCCCTGCGCGCGCACAGGCTACCCACGCTCTATCGACAGCAAAGAAAGTACAGCTCCCCGTCCCACGCATATTGCATATTGTACTCCCTTCTTAAGCGAAATATTTTGCAAATTTAAGTATGCGCATAAATTGATCATCCGCCCACGTGCCTTCAATGTAAGTTGCCACGTTCTTGGTGTGAGTTTGAAGGCTCTCGCGCGATTTCAAGGCCAAGAACTCTTCAAATCCAGGGGCGGCTAAATTGCAGCTTGATTGAATCTCTGTCACAGCCAGAGTTCTTCGCACGTTTTCCGTTCTTTTCTTTTTTTGCTCCTCTTTCTTCTTTTTTTGTGTGCGTAATTATCATATTATTTAATGGATTTCAATTTCTCATTTTAGTAAAATTGATTAGAAACGACAGTGAATCCTTCGTTTGCCATCTACATTTCAGTTAACCCGAGATCTCGTGATAAGAATCACTTCAGAAGAAAGTGAAAAGATTTGAACAGTTTTATCAAAAGAAATGATAGCGACACAATCAGTTACGTGAGAAAGGCCATTATGTTCAAAGAGGAAAACTTGAGGCAAAATTGAAAAAAAGTTTTACTAACCAGAYCTTGGCCTATGAAAACGATAGCCCACACGGTCAAGATTCAATCGMTTGAATGCTACATTGCCGCCCGTGTCGTTTAGCAGGGTAATACGGTCAAAAATTAAGTACCACAAATCCGGATCAGTTCACAAAGGATATACAATTTAGTTATATGAATGATAATCGCTTGTTTGACGTTCACCGTAAAGTGTTCTTATCGTGGAGGTAGCAATAAACATTGCGGTTTGAGACGTGAGGTGATTGATTTATCGAGCCGCTAAGTCACATAAGACTTCTGGCCATCTTAACGCCTCTGCCTCACTCTGCCACTGTCCACACACACGCTACATCGGCCATCCATCATCGGGCGTACCGAAGTGATCATTAGAATAAGGCCATTATAGGTGATTTGTCGCACTTCACTTCTTTTTCAGACATCTCTTTTGCTTTTGCTTATTTTTAACTATATTTATAATTTTAGTACTTTTCTTTTCCCATTTTTTTCTAATTACCTTTTATTCTTTATGTTTCTCTTCCTTTCATTTAAGCTTTTTTATTTTTTTCTCCAATTTTTATCTCGAGTTTTTCCTTGCCATTCACAGTCCACCCCCTTGAATTCTTCAATCAGTCTTATATTTACATTCTACTTACTCCCTCAAACTACCTCATTTGCTCATGCATATRGTGATATTCATTTATTTGCTAAACATAATATTTACAAGATATTTACAAAAATTYAAACTGCATTTTGTCACATGAAATCATGTTAAAATTCATATTAGTTTACTATCTTACAATTTAGTCATCATTATACTTCAAAACACGTGTTTGTATTTGTCTCAGTTTGACAGAAAAGGGCATTCAAGATGGTGAGCTAATTTTTTCTATTTCTAAATGTAGCATAGTCCATTCAATGAAAATACTATCCTTTTCATTGGTCGAGAGGAGTACAATTACAGCGTTAATTACAGCGTTCATTGTACTCCTTATAAAATTTTGTTTCACTGAATATACTATAAACAAAAAATCGCACAATCTCTCGTACAATTTGGAATTAATAGTCACTCGTRATGTTTTGAAAGTTYACAATTACGAAGAACTTTCAAAACATTACTCGTGACTATCAATTCCAAATTGTACTCAAGGTCGTACGATTTCCTATACAAATAACAATTAGATCTCGAGGGCGAGTGGACTACGAGAGCCCATCAGGCCGAAGGCCGAATGGGCTATCATCTCGTAGTCCACGAGGCCGAGCCGAGATCTAATTGTTTTAGTATTACCATACTGGTTGGACAAAATATGAATGAAATATATAAATAATTAAATGTTTTTATTGCTAAAAATACGCAAAAAGTTGTCTCTTTTCGCTAGTCGACTGACTACTGAACATAGACCCCGAGTAGCGTAGCCAATCAGAACGAAGGAATTGCAATAGTCCACTAGTATGGTAATACTAATCACCTAACCAAAAAAAGTCTGCAACTTTCAAT